GTGAACTAGATTACTGACTCTAGTAAACCCTTTGAGTGTTGGTCACATGACGATGTGAATTATGGGTGTTAATCACATGGTGATGTGAACTATTGCTGTTAAATCACATGACGATGTGAACTAGATTATTGACTCTAGTGCAAGTGGGAGATTGAAGGAAATATGCCCTAGAGGCAATAATAAAGTTATTATTTATTTCCTTATATCATGATAAATGTTTATTATTCATGCTAGAATTGTATTAACCGGAAACATAATACATGTGTGAATACATAGACAAACAGAGTGTCACTAGTATGCCTCTACTTGACTAGCTCGTTAATCAAAGATGGTTATGTTTCCTAACCATGGACAAAAGAGTTGTTATTTGATTAACGAGGTCACATCATTAGTTGAATGATCTGATTGACATGACCCATTCCATTAGCTTAGCACCCGATCGTTTAGTATGTTGCTATTGCTTTCTTCATGACTTATACATGTTCCTATAACTATGAGATTATGCAACTCCCGTTTGCCAGAGGAACACTTTGGGTGCTACCAAACGTCACAACGTAACTGGGTGATTATAAAGGAGCATTACAGGTGTCTCCAAAGGTAGATGTTGGGTTGGCGTATCTCGAGATTAGGGTTTGTCACTCCGATTGTCGGAGAGGTATCTCTGGGCCCTCTCGGTAATACACATCACATAAGCCTTGCAAGCATTATAACTAAGATGTTAGTTGTGAGATGATGTATTATGGAACGAGTAAAGAGACTTGCCAGTAACGAGATTGAACTAGGTATTGGATACCGACGATCGAATCTCGGGCAAGTAACATACCGATGACAAAGGGAACAACGTATGTTGTTATGTGGTCTGACCGATAAAGATCTTCGTAGAATATGTAGGAGCCAATATGGGCATCCAGGTCCCGCTATTGGTTATTGACCGGAGACGTGTCTCGGTCATGTCTACATTGTTCTCGAACCGTAGGGTCCGCACGCTTAACATTACGATGACAGTTATTATGAGTTTATGCATTTTGATGTACCGAAGGTTGTTCGGAGTCCCGGATGTGATCACGGACATGACGAGGAGTCTCGAAATGGTCGAGACATAAAGATTGATATATTGGAAGCCTATGTTTGGACATCGGAAGTGTTCCGGGTGAAATCGGGATTTTACCGGATTACCGGGAGGGTTACCGGAACCCCCCGGGAGCCAAATGGGCCAACATGGGCCTTAGTGGAAAGTTGAAAGGGCAGCCCACATAGGGCTGTGCGCCTCCCCCCTCTCTCTAGTCCTATTAGGACTAGGAGAAGGTGGCCGGCCCCCTCTCTCCCTTTCCCACTTGGGAATCCTAGTTGGACTAGGATTGGGGGGGGGGGAATCCTACTCCCAGTGGGAGTAGGACTCTCCTGCGCCTCCTCTCCTGGCCGGCCAGCCCTCCCCCTCTCATCCTTTATATACGGGGGCAAGGGACACCTCTAGACACACAAGTTGATCCTTGAGATCGTTCCTTAGCCGTGTGCGGTGCCCCCTGCCACCAAATTCCACCTCGATCATACCGTTGTAGTGCTTAGGCGAAGCCCTGCGTCGGTAGTACATCAAGATCGTCACCACACCGTCGTGCTGACGGAACTCTTCCTCGATGCTTTGCTGGATCGGAGCCCGAGGATCGTCATCGAGCTGAACGTGTGCTAAGAACTCGGAGGTGCCGGAGTAACGGTGCTTGGATCGGTCGGATCGGGAAGACATACGACTACTTCCTCTACGTTGTGTGATCGCTTCCGCAGTCGGTCTGCGTTGGTACGTAGACAACACTCTCCCCTCTCGTTGCTATGCATCACCATGATCTTGCGTGTGCGTAGGAATTTTTTTGAAATTACTACGTTCCCCAACACCTAGTACATTTCAGGAAGCATGCAAGGATGCAAAGTGGATGAAAGCTATGGAAGAAGAATTTCAAGCACTTCAGAAAAATAAAATATGGCACCTCGTTCCTTCACAGCAAGGTAAAAACTTGATTGATTGCAAATGGATGTTCAGAATAAAGAAAAAGTCAGATGGTACTATAGATAGATACAAGGCCAGACTAGTTGCAAAGGGGTTCAAGCAAAGGTATGGTATAGACTATGAAGATACATTCAGTCCAGTTGTTAAAGCTGCCACTATACGTCTCATTTTGTCTATTGCTGTATCCAGAGGATGGAGTCTCATACAGCTAGATGTGCAGAACGCGTTTCTGCATGGTTTTCTGGAAGAGGAAGTTTACATGAAACAACCTCCTAGTTTTGAGAACAAAAACAAACCTTTTCATGTATGCAGGCTGGATAGATCTCTGTATGGACTGAAACAAGCTCCCAGGGCTTGGTACTCACGCTTGAGCTCAAAATTGCAAACACTTGGATTTGTTCCTTCAAGGTCTGATACATCACTGTTCATCTATAATAAGTCACGTACATCTGTTTTTGTGCTTATTTATGTTGATGATATTATTGTTACAAGCTCATCAAATGAAGCTGTGACAACCTTGTTGAAGGATTTGAATTCAGAGTTTGCTCTTAAAGATTTAGGAGATTTGCATTATTTTCTTGGTATAGAAGTTAAAAGAAACAAAGAAGGAGGACTTCACTTGTCACAGGAAAAATATGCAAATGATCTTTTGAGAAGAGTTGGTCTGCAGAATTGTAAACCATCACCAACTCCACTATCCAGTTCAGAAAAGTTGTCTCTTGCAGTAGGAGAACTCTTGGATCAAGAGGATAGCACAAGGTACAGAAGTATGGTTGGTGCACTTCAGTATTTGACTTTGACTAGACCAGATATTTCCTTTGCTGTGAACAAAGTTTGTCAATTTCTTCATGCACCCACAACATCGCACTGGACAACTGCCAAACGCATACTTAGATATGTGAAGAGTACTTTGAATCTTGGCTTAACTTTTAACAAGTCACCATCCACACTTGTGAGTGCTTTTTCTGATTCTGATTGGACTGTTTGATCAGATGATAGAAGGTCTACATGTGGTTTTGCTATATTTCTTGGACCCAATCTCATCTCATGGTGTGCAAAGAAGCAAGCCACGGTATCCAGGTCAAGTACTGAAGCAGAATACAAGGCTTTGGCTAATGCAACGGCAGAGATCATATGGGTTAAATCCATGCTTAAGGAACTTCGCATATACAATTCTCAAACCCCTTGTCTTTGGTGTGATAACCTTGGTGCTACGTATCTCTCAGCTAACCCTGTTTTTCATGCAAGGACCAAACATATTGAAATTGATTATCATTTTGTGAGGGAAAGAGTTGCAAGCAAAGAGCTAGAGATACGGTTTGTTCACTCAAAGGATCAAGTTGTGGATGGTTTTACTAAAGCACTTCCCACGAGGGCGTTTGAAGAATTTAAACGTAATCTTAACTTGGTGAAGTTCTAATTATGGGAGGGTGTTAAGAATATATGTTCAGGAGGTTATGCACCATATCTATTGGCTGTTATTGTAACTAGAGATTAGTCTGACTTGTAACCCAAACAATCATATCAATATAAATCATGCGGGTGCTCGTGTATGGGCATTGAGACGCTTCCACAATATTTCACAGATAAATGCTCTGTTTTATTGATTACTGATGCAGGTTTAGTTAGTGCAAATGCTTGGCTAGCTCCTGTTTCAAGAAGTCTGTGCAAACCTCTTGCAACCAGGTACAAATTCTTGATCCCAGATCCTTCCTGCGTGCGCAAATCTACTCTTTGCATAGATAAATTATATTTTTCGGCACATTACATATGTACAAAAAAAGAGCACTTGCACTTCATTCCACTTTAAAAAATGCTTGTTTACCACTTCTTTCAAAGTTGCTGTGTCGCTTTCCCGGCAAATAATTTTTTCTTATTTGTTTTAGTTAATGAGAAATAGTGCTTTTTTTTCTTTTTTTTCTCGTCCAATCAATTTCTAAAGGAAAACCATGGGCTCTGAGTGGGATGGGCTCAGATACTGAACAGGGCTGATTAAGTGCGGCTTAGATGGGCCGCTATTGTGTACTATATATGTTTGACCGGTGGTATTGCTTGCTCTGCAGGTATCCAAAGTTACATTCCAGTGGCTGAGATGCAGAGAGTTGTTGGGTGTGGTTTCCTCCATTTGTATGCTCGCCGTGGAGATGGATCCTCTATGTACCATGCGCGGTCAGCTATGGAGTGCACTTATTGGAATTAATCAGTTTTTTGCTAAATTCATCCGTCGATTGATCTTGCTAGCACTTTAGTGTGTGCTCATGTTGTATCAGCATTTAGAAGCTTAGTTCTCACCCATGAATGCTGAATGAATCCCATCAGTAGTCTGGCCTGGGAGTTGGGAAGAAGTTCCTGTAAGCTGAACTGAATTGTACCTGCCTTAGCCCTGGTGCTATTTGCTACTGCTTATATACAGGGCCGGGTTTCGGCGCTTCTTTGCCTTCTTTGATGAGAAACAAAATGGCTCGCTTGTTCCTGCTGGAGAAAAAAAATCAAACCGTCGTACTTGCTGTTGCTTCTGAAGAAATGATTTAGTTCTTCTTATCAGGACAGGGATAGGTAAAACAATATTAGCCTTGATTTGCCTCTGTACATCGATTACCGCCTTTGCTTTTAAGTTTCAGTAGCAATGATACTTTGCTTGTGGGACGTTTTTTCCTCCTTTCTCTGAGGTGTGGCAAAGGTTTCCATGGTTTGGGTAACATTTGAACTTTAGCTCGTCTATGTGTTAGCTTGAGAATGCTTGTTTTCACTTGTTCCTTGCAAATTAAAAAGGCAAATAAATTTTGGTAGTCATGATCAAATCAGGTGTTGGCCAAACCAAAGACCGATTAACATTTATTGGGTTTTCTCTACGTATAATAGTATAGATGACATGACAGACGCATAAACTCATTTTATTGGTTGCCGCCACAATCACAGCAGTTCAACATCATATATATACGATCCCATGATCGACAAGCTAGCTCTTCAAATCTTTTTCTCTTCTAGAGCAGCTTGAAAGCTAATTATGGGCCTTGTGGCTCCATATCTTCATCTTGTTGCAGTTCTGCACGCAGACGTCGGCGTCAGCTGCATCTGCAAAATAGCAATGCAAGAACAGAAATCATCAGAACAAATGAAGAAACGATTGCTTTCAAGTGAAAGAACACACGGATTCAACTCATCAAGAAGAAGAAGAATGTGATCAAGGTGGTCCGACGTCTTACCGGCTGGCGCCTCTGACGAGTCGCAGATGTGTATCTTGCAGGCCATCCTGCACGTGGCGGCGGCAGAGCCGACACTGTCGCCGGCCTGGTTGGTGTTGGGGCTGCACTTGTTGGCGCAGAGCGGGATGCAGAGCCAGCGCGGCACGCCGGGGCTCCTGCACCCAGGGTAGCAGTCATTGAAGCACTTGCAGAAGTCGGACATGGCGGCCACCTGCTGCCGCTGCCCAGACGGCAGCACGAGGAGGAGCATGATGCACAGGGCGGCAATGGCTGCCGCTCTCTTCTTCACCTCCATCTCTTTCTTGGGGACCAACGAACGATGCTTGTTAAGGATCAATAGGAGAAGGAAGGAAGGGGACTGCTGTTGGTGGTGACTCTGCTAGTCAGTTTTGGGGTTCATCTTATAGGGGGCACTGGAGCTCTGAGGGCAAAACGGACATTTGGCCTGGATAGTTTGTAAGGCAGCTGAGCATAGTATTTCTCTATTTTCAGTGCAAATCAAGACTATGATTTCATAGCGTCACGTCACAGCTCGATTGCGTGGCATGTTTCGGCGAATGGGTGATGGCCAGGTGGAGCGTCCTGTAGTCAGTTTTGCCATAGTATGTTTTCATTTTCTGAACAAAATATCTATCACTATATGAGAGAATAACCTCGGATCTTAAACTGATTAGACAAGCCCTTATGAAGCTGTTTGTGTTGATGTAGAAATAAAACCGAATGCAGTTTTTCATGCATTGCTGTTTTTATATAATGGTGGAGGTTATCCTATGTTTGGTAATATCTCTTTAGCTGTACAGCTGCGCGTGAGAGGAATCAGATTTCATTGACATGGCAGCAGATAAATACTTCCAGCCAGTTTACAAGCTTCTGCCTTTTTTCTAGAATACGTAAAATCTTCTAGTTACATGCGGCAAATTATCTGTTCATTCTTTTACACAGGCAAGCACGATCTGAAAACCTTGCATATGTTACAAACCCTTGTGAACTTATGCCGCAAATCATCTACTGAAGTTAGTATCCACTATGCTGAAAATGAGGCCTACTTCGATGCTACACGCAACTGTGTCTATGGCTCTATGCTGATAGATACAGTTATGGATGTTGTGGCTATCAGTTTAAGATCCAAGATTATTCTCATAGTGATTTTGTGCGTGTTTTTTTGTTGTTGAGTTTTGTACCTCAATACTTGGAAGCGTAATTCTGATTATAATGAATGTTGAATCCCGTCAGTAGTCTGACTTGGGAGTTTGGGAGCAGCTCCTGCAAGTTGAACTGAACTGTGCCTGCATTAGCCTGGTGCTATTTTCTACAGCACAAATAGCATAAATGGCTTCACAGCATCCATGGCTTCCGTGCTACTTTTCCTTCTATTTTGAGATGCTGTGAAGCCATGGATGTTGGATGATGGATCATTAATTGGTTGCCCAACTTTTGGATTCTTTTATGAGTTGGCTAACATTTGAAATAATTTATGAGCTAGCTTCTGAAGAAATAAAATGGCTCACTTGTTCCTGTTTTTTTTTTCAAAGCCTCAATTTGTTTCTGAAGAAATGATTTGGTTATTCTTATGAGGGCAGGTATGAGGGTAGGGAGAGGCAAATCAAAGGCAAATCCTTATTAGCCTTGATTTACCTCTACACATCGTTAACTGCCTTTGGTTTTAAGTTTACTGGAAAAAGGCTTTCGCCCCGCTTTGTTTGGTTTTAAGTTTCAGTACCAATGCCGCTTTGTTTCTGGGAGATGTTATTATTTCCTCCTTTGCTTCGATGGTTTGGCTAACATTTGAATTTTTACTCATCTATGAAATAAGTTATAAGGAAAACAAAGTCGCACACAGACGATAAAAACATTTGGTTCTTATGATCCAGTCATGGAAATGCCAAATCAACTTTATATTGTGTAGTATATATGCCTTACATATCGAGATACTCATTTTATTGGTTGCTGTTACAATCACAGAGAGGTTCAACATCACACTTATATGGCTACAATCTCATGATCGATCGACAAGCCCTTCAGATGCCTTTTACTTCTCCTAAAACGTAACAGCTTAATTGTGGGCCTTAATTCTGGCTCCATTTCTTGTTGCAGTTTTCCATGCAGCTGGCCGCATCAGCTGCATCTGCAAAATCATGAGAACAGAAGAAGAAGAAAAAATCATGAGAACAGAAGCAGATATGACACTTGTCAGAAGAAAAGGAAATGCGGGCTTGCTCGACGGAGCAAATGCAATGTGATCAAGATGGTCCGACCGTCGTCTTACCGGCGGGCGCCGCTGACCAGCCGCAGATTTTGATGTTCAGCTTGCTGCAGGCCATCCTGCACATGGCGTCGCCGCTGACGGCGGCCTGGTTGGGGCTGCACTTGTTGGCGCAGAACAGTTGGCAGAGGAAGTGCGGCACGTGGTCGTTCGTGCACCCAGGGAAGCAGTCGTCGAAGCACTTGCAGAACTTGGACTTGGCGGCCACCTCCCCGGGCAGCAGCACCAGGAGGAGGAGCATGCACAGCGCGGCCATGGCGGCCGGCCTCGACCTCTTCGCCTCCATCTCCCTCCTCGTGCAAGCTACTGCCTCTTCTTCTTCGGAATCAAGGGAAGGGAAGGAGGAGAGAACTGATGAGGTGAGAGTGTGAGACTTTGTGTGGCATTGTGTGTGCTTATATGGGCACTGGAGATACGAGGGCAATATCGTCATTTGGCCCGGATATATAACTTGTAATGTATTTTGCTATTTCCTGGTAAAAAAAATGGGCACGATTTCCCTAGCACCACCTCCGGGTTAGGCGGCGGCGTGTTTTCGGCGAATGGACGAAGGCCAAGTGGAGCGTGTCCTGTAGCCAGTTTTGCCATGGTACTTGTTTTCTGAAGATAATACCACTCACCATGAAACTAACCTTGGACCTAAAAATGATTAGAGACAAGGGAATGCTGCTCATCACTGTTTTTGCAGGCAAGCCACTATGAAGCTGCCTGTGTTGATGTAGAAAGTTAACAGAATGCTGCTCTGATCCAATTCTGTTTATACAAGTGAACATTACTTTACTAGTATCTCTTTAGCTGTACAGCTACGTGTGAGAGACAAGACTTCATTGGCAATTTGGCATGACAGCAAGTAAATATTTCAAAGCAGTTTACAAGATTCTGGATGTAATAATTCCACTGGGGATATTTGGTGCCAGAAAAAAATGATTTCATTTTCATCTTGGCAGGCTAAATTTGTTTCTGATTAATGAGTATTGTTGCCATGATTTTTTAGTAGTATATTTTATTTGTCTTCCAGTGTGTGTAGAACAAGCTTAAAAGATAGCTCAGGATGACTCCTCCCTTCTGACCAGCTAATTCTGATTGTGCATATTCTTTATTTCTCATACGATATAATGAGTATATGCTGTTTTGGGAATATTCAGTAAATTTGACAGTAGTTGTGTTTTATATATCTAAAACTATCTTTGTTTCAAAACTGAGCAGTGTTTCTGATTTTTTTTTTGAGACTGTGTTTCTGAAATTACAGGTGTAAGTTTATCTAAATATCTCCCTAATGGCTCCTTGTTCCGTTTTGAGCTTTCTCTGGAATGTCATTGTGTCATGCGCTTTCATGCTCCTTGTTCCGTTTTGTCCAGTTTTGCCATGGTACTCGTTTTCTGAAGATAATAGTACTCACTATGAGACTAACTTTGGACCTAAAAATGATTAGAGACAAGGGAATGTTGCTCATCTCTGTTTTGGTAGGCAAGCCACTATGAATCTGCCTGTGTTGATGTAGAAAGGAAACAGAATTCAGTTCTGAACTTCTGATACAATGCTGTTTCTATATTCCAGTCTGAGTGAACAACTGAACATTCAGTACTGCGATCTCCTGGTAAATCAAATGGGCACAATGTGTCCTCTAGTCAGTTTGGCCATGGTATTCATTCCTGAAGATGATATGACTGATCACTCACTATGAATATAGCCATGTTGAAACTGAGTTGTATTTCTGAATTTACAGTTGTAAGTTTATTTAAATATCTTCCTAATGTCTCCTTGTTTAGTTTTGAGCTTTTCTCTGAAATGTCATTGTGTCATGCGCCTTCATTAAATCATATGCTAGCTACTGTCATTGCTTTGCCTATATATGTTCCTTTATGTCCCTTATTTTGCGTGTTTTTTGTTGTTAACTTCGCACCTCAATATTTAGAAGCACTGTTCTGAATAATGAATATTGAATCCCATCGGTAGTCTCAGTCTGATGTTAGCTAGGAATGTTGGGAACAAGTTCGTGTGAGTTGAACTGAATTTGCACTTGCCTTAGCCTGGTATTATTTGCTACTGCATATATGGCTGGCGATTAAACAACCAGCTCTAATTAGTCTAATATGTGGTTCCAGTGCTACTTTTCATTCTTTTTTAAGATGCTATGAAGCCTTGGGTGTTGTATCAGTTGCCTACGTTTTTCTCATCTCTGGGTTAAGTTAAGGGGGAAAAGCTCGCACTTTTTTGCCGCAAAAAAGACAAAAAAAACTTTGGAAATGCCAAATCAAAGCCAAATGAACGTCATATTATGTATATTATGCCTTACATATCGACATACTCAATTTATTGGTTGCTGCTACAATCACAGTCATTCAACATCATATTCATATAGTATATGTAATGATCCCATGATCGACAAGGAAGCTCTTCAAATCTTCTTCTCTTCTCCTAAAACGGAGCGGTTTGGCGGTTAATCTGGCTCAGCTTCCTGTTGCAGTTCTGCACGCAGATGTCGGCGTCAGCTGCATCTGCAGAAATTGCGATGCAAGAACATAAATCATTAGAACAAAAGATGGAAGTATTCTTGTCAAAAAGAAAAGAACACGGAGATTTTCAACTCATCAAGAAGAAGAAGAATGTGATCAAGATGGTCCGTCGTCTTACCGGTCGGCGCCGCCGCTGAGTGACCGCAGATCTGTATCTTGCAGGCCATCCTGCAGGTGGCGGCGGCAGAGCCGACGCTGACGCCATAGCCGGGCTGGTTGGTGTTGGGGCTGCACTTGTTGGCGCAGAACACATTGCAGGCATAGCCCGGCACGTTGTCGTTCACGCACCCGGGGTAGCAGTCGTCGAAGCACTTGCAGAACTCCGACTTGGCAAAGATGATTTGCGTCCATGAGTACTCATTTAGAATGGTTGAACATAAATGGTTCAACATTCTAATGAAGTGCTTGAATCCAAACTATCAACCCATTGGAAGGAAGGCAATAAGAGCTGAATGCACATTTGAGCCGGCACTAATGTATACATTAGTGCCGGTTTCAACGGCTAGCCGAGCCTCC